GCAAGGAGGCTGTGCTGTGCTCATCAGGTCTCTCCTGCAAACTGCAGTGGCTCACTGGGTCTCCCTCCTCAACCTCTCCCAGACAAACACAGGACAGTCCTGCTTCAGCCTCTGGTGACAGCTGTGCCTATAGGACAGAGCACAACCCACAAGTTACAGCATGCCATGGCCCTCCCTACGCTGCCCCCAGCCCAACCCCTGCACATCGATCCCCAGGGCCTCAGCCAGGGCACAGGAAAGTTCCTCAACCACTCAGGAAGGCCCAGCTCCCCGGCCACCTTCCGTGTGAAGCCTTCCCGGCTCTCTCCTCTCGACCCCCCTGCTTGCTGAGCAGAGCTCGTTACTCTGCACTCAGAAAGCTCTCGGTATGGACCTCTAGGTACATAACACACGGGGTTATAATTACACGTTCCCAAATCTGTCTCTTCCAGGAGTCTGGGAGTCCCTCAATGCCACCGACCAAGTCTTATCCATCTTTTGAACCCTTAGTGCCTAGCACTGGGCAAATAAGAAGTGTTCACACAATATTTACTGAGCAAATAAATGCCCCCCATTCTAAGGGGCTACCCCAAACAAGCTAGTGACCAAGCTCTCTAACTGGTAACTCAAGCCTGTGCATCTGCATACATCTGTGTGGGCAAGTGCACACACACAGAGAAGGTGGAGGTGTTGGGGGCCCCAGAGCTGCTGTGCTCAGCTCTTCCAGGCATCTGTGAAGCAGGCCCCTTTCCTAGGTTCACAGGAAAGAAAAAGCCCCAGCTGGACAGGGAGCTTGGCCGTGCTGGTCTGGAAACCCACACATCAGGGCAAGCCTGGGGGGCTGAGGAAACACTAAGAGGTCTGACTTCCCCTGGAAAAACTAGTCAGACAGGAAACGCACAGGCGAGGATGGCTAGCTCTGGAGATCCGGACATGTGCTCTCACCCCTCTCCCCCTGGGAACAACCACCCAGCACAAAGAAAATCCCCAATGATACAGGCCTGCCCTCCTCAGGCACCTTGGGCCCAGCCTTCAGGGCTGGCCCTGTGGTCTATCTCCTCAGCAGTCTGACAGCCACAGGGGTCAGGCCTCAGACAGCTGGTACCAATGTCACCTACCCTGTGAGCCTGACTGCCTTGTCCAGGCGGTTTGCGTTCTTCTGCCACCCCCCACCCCTGGCATCAAAGGTACCACTCCATTGTCCCCTTTAGTTTTCCTAAAGGCAAGGGCCTGTTTTCATTCACCACCTGAGAAAGCCTGGCGCCTAGAAGGGTGTCAATGGAAGAATCAAAGACGAAAGGCTGGGGCTGCAAAAGTTCCCACAGATACGCTTGGATGGCACTCAGAGCCCACCATGGAGCTCTACCCGAGCCACTGTACCCACAATGACCCTTGACTGAACCTCTCATCCCAGAAGGCACCAGAGGGAAAAGTGTAGAGCCAGAGCCTAGACAGGCTGAGGCTGTCTGTAAGGAACAGTCTGAACACAAAGGTTTCTTCTCAGAGGAGCAATGCAGACCACAGGAACGGGGGCCTGAGACCACTCACAGCACAATCCCGGGGCTCTGAGTCCTTTTGGGACTGGCCGGCCAGCCACTGACTGGAGAACCGGGTCCAACTGAGGCTGTCACATGGCAGCACAATTCACTCCCTACATTTCTATTTCCTCATCTGTTAAGTGGGGTGGTACTCCAGGCCCTTTAGAGAATAAACCAAGAAAACATGATGAAAAGTCTCTGTAGCACTCAGCAGGAGGTTTGTAATTGCTTTGTGCTCATTTAAGTCAGTATCTGTAACATAAAAAGCCCAACGTTGACCTGGTTCCTGTCACACCACCATGACAACCAGCACCAAGGCACTTCTCCACCCCTCTTTTAAGCCAAACTCCCGCTGGAGAAGTGAGCACCTGCCAGCCTCGTCTCACAAGTGCGGGATAAAGTGAGAGGGCACAGAGTTAGGCCAGAATGAGGTCCTGTACATCAGCGGTCCCCAAACTTTTTGGCACCAGGGACTGGTTTCGAGGAAGAAATTTTTCCA